GTGTGTCTGTCACATGCACAGCCCAAAGGAGTCACAAATTGCTCCGCACAAGTGCCTCCCAAACAACACAGATGCAGCATAATCCCATCCTTCAATGCCAGACTGGTGCCCATGTTGTCGCTTCAGAAGCCAGTCAGGTTCTTCCACCTTCCACACAGGAGTTGCAGTTTTCCTTTGAATAAACCCAAAAGCACAAGTCCCTGCCAGGTGTGGATGTGTATGAAGCCATCATTTTCTGCCATTCACTTCTGACAAAGGGAAAATCAGGTCCCCTCAACGGGAGGGGGACACACACACAAAACCAGCAGCATATCCCTTCATGTGGAGCCACATCTCCGCCACACACAGAAGCGAGACCCCTCTGGGAGGAGTGCTGCCCTTACCTTAATGATGCTGCTCCTCCGGGGGATGCCGGGCTTGCCCTCCCGCTGCTGCCCGCAGGGAAACCCTTTCTCCTTGCCGCTGTTCTCGGGGCTTCCGGGGGGCGCGGATCCCGGCTCCTCACCGGCCCCCGCCAGCGCGCAGTCCCCGTTGGAGACGCGGCCGCCGGCGCTGTCAAAGCGGACTCTCCCACCGCCGCCTCCGCCGTCCCCGTCGCCAGCCCTGAAGGCCACCTTGCCCTGCAGCGGCCCCGGGGAGCCGGGGAGCCCCCCGCCGCCGCCGCCGCCGCCGAACTCCGCCATCAGCCGCCGGGCTGCAGCAGCGCAGCGCCGCGGTCCCCCTCCCCTCTGCCGCAGCCGCTGCTCGGCGTTGCCGCTCCTTCCGCTTTCTGGGTATTTACGAGCGGGGGGGAATCAGCAAAAGTCTCTCTCCGCCGTTCATTTGGCACCGAGATCGCGTCTCTCCAGGAGGTTGGTGGGGGGCGGACGCCTCGCTGTCGTCTCTGCGAGCACCAGCGCTCGGTCCGTCAGCCCTTCAGCACCTGGGAAAGGAAAAGAGGCGAAACGTGACGGGCTGCTCTCGCACGCGGCGGCGGCGGGGGGGAGCGTTACACCGCGGCACTCGCACTCACACACGCACGCACACGCGGGTGGGAGGAGGGCCCGCACGCAGCCCCGCACCGGACGAGCACAGCCACCAGCTAGGGCACCTCCTGCTCCATCGCGTGCTGAAATCGGCGTTTTCCCGCTGACACCGACCTCGCCATCGCAGCCCGGCGCCAAAAAGCGGGAACGTGGCGAGAACTTGAGTGCAACACCCCGGACTCCCCCGGCGGCGGCCAGGCGCAGTCCGTCTCAGCGGCGCGGCGGCGACCCGTGGGGCTCCGGGAAGAGCGGGCACCACCAGCCGCTCCGCTGGCCGCCGCCGGCAACTTTTCTTCCCTCCCGCCGCCACCCGCCCCTCGCCGCGCCGTCCCCGGGTAATCCGCTGCCCGCCCGTCCCCGGCAGCCGCCCTCCCGCGCCCCCGGCCACCGCCCGCCGCGCCCCGCTACCCACCTCGGCTGCGAAGTGACGGGGGGTTCCCCCGCCGCCGCCGCCCCGAAGACGCTTTTCCCCCTCTCCCCTCCTCCCCGCTACGGTCGCCGCCTCTGCCCGGAGCCGGATACGGAGAGAAACTGATTCGCGTGGCCGCTTCCCTCGTTCTTCGCGCCGCCTCCCTCGGCGGAGCGCTCGGCGGCCCCGAGCAGGCAAAACGCCGGCAGCGCCGAGGGCAAAGGCGCCCCGGCCGCCCCCACTCGGAAACTCTCCGGCGAAAGCAGCGCGAGCGAGCCCGGCTCCCCCCCGCCCCGCGCTGCCAATCACGGGGGCGGCCCCGCGCGGATTGGGCGGCCCCGCCGCCAGCAGCCCCCCCTCCGGCAACTCCGGGCGCGCCGACGGGGGCAGGACCCGCGGTCACCGCGCTGCGAGGAGGAAGGGAGCAGCGGGGCCGGCAGCGAATTCCTCCACGCGCGCCCTCACCGCTGAGGGCTCCTCGCGCTCCCGGTGCTCCCGCCGCCCCTCCGGCGCTGCGCCGTCGCCCGGCGAGAGCTGCCCGCCCTCAGAGAGCCCGCCCGCCCCCAGCGGCCCCGCCGGAGCCCCCCGCCGCGTGGGCAGGAAGGGCGGGGGCCGGCGGCCGTTCCGCGCTGTGAGGCGGTACCTCAGCTGCAGCCTGGCGAGAGCTTCCCCGAGGCAGCCAGTGAGCGCAATTAGGCCTGTTAATTAATTAGGGAAAGACAACGTGGTCAAGCGCAGGACTAACGATAGCATAATGAGAAAAGTAACGTGGTGGTCACCTCGAGATGTGTCCACTGCAAAGCGAGTGTGACTGGTGTGCCCTTACGTACCACACTTGTGCATTCAGAACGTGGCCAAACAAGCTCAAGCAACAAGAATTAGGACCCGAGGGAACAGCGTGGAGCTGCATGGGGACGGGTCAAGTTGGGTATCGGGAAAAGGTTCTTCACCAGAGGGCAGTGGGCGTGGATCTGGATGCCTAGGACAATGGTCACGGCCCCAAGCTGCTGTAGTTCAGCAGTGTTTGGAGAGTGCTCTCAGATACAGGGCTTGAAATTTGGGTGGTGTCATGTGGAACCAGGAGCTGGACTCAGTGGTCATTATGGGTCAGTTCCAACTTGGGACATTCTGTGATTCTATGACTTGATGTATGAGGAATAACTTAGAGATGTATGTTTATTTGTACTTTTAGATATAGTTGTATATTGCGATGGCCCCATATTTCGTCATTCATTTGAGCAAAGGAATACAAAACGGCACAGCTGAGGCAGGGCCCTCTGCTCATGGTCAGTGCTCTGCTTGAAGCATGGCAACATGAAGGGTGGGAGCAGCAGGAGGCCTATGGCTGCCCACACTGCCTGGCCTTCAGCATTCGGCTGGTGCATAACACAGGAGCCAGGCACACCTCGCAGCCCATCACAGGCTCTGCACTTTTCATTCAGATTCCTCTGGTTGTCCTCTAGAGACCTTGGCATCTGAGATAAGGTGTCTACCAAAGATGCTTAGAGTAAGGCAACACAAATACCCAGCTTTGATGTGTTGTGCCGAGTTACACAATGGAAACACTGAAGAGCTTGTTATAAATTCTACCCTTCAGCAGCAGGATGTAACCAAGCACTGCAGAGCAGCACCCTTCCAAGGGAAGGCACCCGACCTTCTCCTAGGGACAGCTCTCTGCCCCCTCTCAGCAAGAGCCACAGGGGAGGCTGTGCCATGCTACAGGAAGGGAACCAAGAGATAGCGGGCCCTGCAGAAGTTGGCACAGAGCAGGAATGCTACTGCAGGCCAGAACCTGTCTGCACAAGGCTGCTGTTCAATAGCTGTCCGGGCAGCAAGGAAGGCACTGAACAGCTCACCTGTGCAGTGAGAGGTCCAGCTACTGGGATGCAAGAACCCATGTGCATTTCTTGAACTGCTTTGTAGAAGTGCTGCCCCACTCTCGAGGAATAAACCAGCTGAGGGTCCATAACAATAACATATCACATCCTTAATTTCCAGCTCATGACAATGTTGTTGGCCACCACAGAAAAAAGGCACCAGGAGGTATTATCCAGCACAGGGGAGTCTGAAGAACATTTCCTGCTCAGTGTCATTTCTAATGACTCAGAACCTGACACTGTTACATCACTCATCTAAATCATTCCCAGTTTTAATCAAATATTCACATAACGTTAGTTCAAATGAAAACCAAAGCATGTGCAGGGTATAGGCTGCAAACTGCAAAGAACATCGACATTAAACTTCAGATTCAAAATATCCAAAGTTTCTGGTTTCCATGAGCCAGAGATAGAGAGCTTTCACCATGTGTCCTCATCTGAACATCTGCTCTTGCCCAAATGTCTTGCCACTGAAGTAGGAAAAGTCAGTCTTGCATATTAAAGCAGCCTTTAGCACTGTATCTACAGATGAGCACGTCACAAACTGCTCCTACAGGAGAGACTTTAGGACCACCACAATTTCTTCTGGAGGATGAGAATTACACACAGCAGACAGAAAGTGCTATAGATTCGTTTGTCGCAGAACATTGCCAGTAAGCTGGCAAGGAAGAAGACACATATTTTCAGTGTTTTTGCTATTCCAGATGCACATAATAAAACACCACTTTTTAGGCCTTTAACAATGTTTGATCAGTTCTGTCTCAGAGAAAGAAAAAACAAAGTAAAAAAGAACACTTCCTTTTCCAACTCTACTTATCTATCCAACCTGTACAGATACAAGATAACAATGCTGAAAAATAAATCATTTAGCTGCAGCCTTGGCAGTTCTGTAATGAATGGTATCAAGAACCTGCAGACTTTTGACCATAAAGTGATGATAATACAAAGCAACCAGTAAAATTTCTGAACCTCATCTGAAGGGCACATGCCTGAAAACTGATTTTGTTGTACTGGCATTGTGCTTATTCTAATACCTTGCAGATATTTAGTGACTGAGAAAACATGAGTGCCAGATGCAGAACTACAGGGGTTATGCTAGAAAAATAGAGATAGCAAATAATGGTTTCTCCAGTTCTGAGATTTCCTCCATTACTTTTCGTTCCCTGATTTTTATTATTGCCCCCATTTCTGTTTTATGGATTTTCCTTCCATGAGTAAAACTATTAAAGAGTGTCCAAAGGAAAGCTACAAAGACGGTGAAGGTCTAGAGAGGAATGAGGTATGAGGAGCAGCTGAGGTCCCTCGGTTTGCCCAGCCCAGAGCAGAGGAGCTGAGGGGAGGCCTCATGGCAGCTGCAGCTCTCATAGGGAGCAGAGGGCAGCGCTGAGCCCTGCTGTCTGACAGCGACAGGGCCCAGGGAACGGCGTGGGGCTGTGTCAGGGGAGGGGCAGGTTGGGTGTTGGGAAAAGGTTGTTCACCAGAGAGCAGTGGGCATGGAACTGGCTGCCCAGGGCAGTGGTCATGGCACCGAGCTGATGGAGTTCAAGAAGCATCTGGACTATGCTCTCAGACATATGGTCTGATTTTTGGGTGGTACTATGTACTCCATATGGTACTCCATGATCCTTACGTGTCCCTTCCAACTTGGGTCATTCTATGATACTATGAATGTGGTTATTCAAATGATAAACCAAAGTTTCAGAAGTGGCCACAAAATTGGCCTTTGCTTATTGATACCCTGCTTATCCTTGCGAGCTCAAGGTTCCAAAGCATAATAATACATGTAATACAAATGTAAACCATGTACTTTCTTTGCCATAACTTTTGAATGTCAGAGAGTGAAGAAACTTTCTTGCTATTATAAGTGTTGGCCTCAGCAGCCTTATTTGTTTACTTGTTAAATGAAATAAAGATTATAATGGAATCAAAAGACACTTTTGTGACAATATTGAACTGTGAGAAGTTGCTGCCATGTGCACATATTAGCTATTTCCATAAAATCCTATTAAATATCAGAGTTCCACAGATAAGCTAATATTACCCATTGAACTTTTCTAACTCAAATAGCATGGCAGCAGAAACCTGCCAAGAAACAGACCATGTTTAAGTCCCAAGCCAGCAATTACACGACCAGTATTTAAATAAACCAAATACTATTAGGATGTTTTTACTAATATCCTAAATATTTTTTTTTTTATTCCAAACACGAGAAGTTTTAATTAGCAATTAACTCGTCTGAATGTTGCTTTTTTGACATCTCTGCTTGGAATTTGCTTTTTCATTATTGTAAGTATCTCTGCAATTCCAGTGATAATTTCTTAAATTGCCTGACTTCACTGTTCGGGTCATGATCTTGCATATACTCGTTTATTATTCTTGCCTATAATTAAGTATACATGTTTAAGTAGTCCTATTAAAGTCAGAATTTAATTCATAATTAATCCAAGGCAAAGTTTAGGTATAAATAATGCATTACTGTATACATCTGTAAAGTGCAGGTGTGCTGTACGCACATAAGAGGAGACTTGGACATGTGAGGGAATATGAACTAATGGGTATCTAAGATAACAAAAGTGTAGGTAGGCAAACATAGGCTAAACCAACTGACTTATTGACTGGAAAGCATTTGTTAGTACTGTGTCCTTCAAATTAATTATGTTTATCATTTTGGAGAGTTCGCTACACTTGCAGTAAGTATGGTCATTTTTATATATGTATATTTTTTATTATTTTTTTTTAATCAGCAGATCAACCATTTCAGCCTATTAATTGCAGCCTAAGGAATGTTTACCCTCTGTCCTACCTATCATGCCAATTAGTTTGGCTAACAGCCTACTTAATTTGACAGCTGAGGATTAACAAGAGCTTAACAGTTCCCCTACAGACTACTGAATCCAGAAGGGACGCTTTTCCAAATCAAGATCATTCAAATGTTATTCTCTGAACTGCCTGTTATTAGGACTATCATGCTGTGGGGTTAGCTGGCTGCAATGTAGCCTTAAGTCACACTGTTTTGAAAACGAGAGTCGTTGTTTATACGTTTAAAAAAGGTCAAGATTTTTCAAAACTGAATAACAATGTTCCCTGCCTTTTAAAATATTGAACTAGACGCTTTAATGGAAAGTTAAAGAGCAGACATAAAGGTCTTTCTGGAAATCCAGTTCCCCTAAGGCCTTAGTTTGCAAGCTAAATATTAAGCCTCGACTTAGGCACTATTTTGGAGGTACTGTGTTGAGAAGTTATTTCTAGTGGAAATAAGAGTTCATTGTACCTCTTTGCCACTCTTCAAAGCACTAACAAACAGTTTTCTCTTTGTTTCTAGTTTGGAGAAACTTATTTCATAACAATAATATCTGAGGTTATTTTGGGTAAAGCTTCCATGGAGCAAAAATTCTATTTTCTTCTATGAAAACAGACAGACACAATGAGTAAGATTTGCATCATGAGCACTTAAACGAAGGCGCATATGTTTTACCAGAGAGACCACAACAACAAACTTGCTCTTGGGATGCTTCTTTTGCATCATTACAAGCAGCATGCAACCACAGTTTGCCACCTCCTCTGGTTGTACTCTGCCCTCTAAGGAGAAGTTACAGAGTTACAAAATGGGCTGAGAGCCAGAATTCTGGGAAGGATTGGGTTTCATTTTGTCTCTCCTTACATCTGTTGGTAACTATTGGACATATGCAGAGACATTTGACTTCTGGAACATAAGGCATTTCATAAGTCATCTATTCTTGTAATTAGAAGAAACTATTACTGTGGGAGCTTGCAAAGTAAGCTGACTTCAATGGATTTCATACCTTGTTAAAACCTAAACTACTCTTGCAAACTAACCAAAGCATCAGTACTGTCAACATCTTTCATTAAATTCTCACATAGAAAAAGATAAAGCTTGTAATTTGTGATTTCAGGATGATATGCTTTGCAAATTCTCTTCACAGTTGCATATTAAACTTTTTCACAGCTTTGAGGGAAATCACATCTCTTCCATTATAGGAGAGTAGGTAAATAAAATAAATTGATTTTTGTCACCTGAGCTCCTTCTATAGTTTTCTCCACTTTATCATGTCCATGAGGCTAAACGGTGGGTCTACCCATGCTGCAGTGCATTATGACTTTACTTTGAGGACCAAAGTTAACTCATACACACTGCTGCTACTAAGCACTTAACTGTGGGCTGGTGACAGTGTAACTAGTTATAAAATTTAAGACACACAATACCACAGAAAAGGGAAAATATATGTATATAAGAGGAATGAAGTTCTAGCAATGAATGTCAGTCAAAATCCTCATTAACCAACTCAACCTAGTCATGTTTCTGAATTATAAAAAGTCATGCAGGACTTAGCATATGCCTGCTAAAAAAGGCAGAAGGAGTTCATTAAACTCATCATACCCTCAAATAGAAATGGATTTTATTTCAATCATCTGAGAAAACTACAGTGGACAATCATTTGAAACAGTTTTTTAAAAAGTTACTAACACGGTGGAACATGTAGTTTTTCTTGTTGTTTGAGACTGGTAGGCTGATTGCATCACCAGGGTCAGTGAGACTGTGTTCCTTATTAAAACTTGTCATGCAGTTCCTTAATCCTATTAATTACTTTTGGATTGCTCACATGCATAAAATGATCACCAGACTTTGTCCCATAGAGATGGCAAGCTTGGCTGTGCTGAATTAACCAGCACAAGCCTCAACAGAAATTAATTCCAGCCTTTAATGTTACCTAATCTTTCAACTTCTGAAGCATAAGTTAACAGTCATACTAGTTTGCTTTATTTTTGGCTATAAAAGTTGCTAATAAGTCACAGTATTTATAGATGCTTTCATATGCATATTCAAAACGTCTTTACTGGAAATAGCTTCATGGTTGAAACATCTGGTCAGACATCTCAACTAAGCATCTATTGTACTATTACCACAAATACTGATAGAAACACGGTGAGTAGAAAATACTCTTCTTCATCTCTCAAGCATTTATGTTCTGCATAAAGTATCCACAAAAGTCAGAGTCCTGACTATCAGTTGTAATTTCTACTGTGCTCTCTGGATTTTTCAGATCAATGCCTATGTACAAAATGTCATTATTAGTATATGGCAACTTTGTTTTCTGAGTAAACAGCAGCTGAAATAAGTGGAAGTCACCACTTTTCCTTCTGCCATAAAAACAGAAGGGAAATTCCCCACTTCTGTTCTTTGCTATGGCAAAGTACTCCTGGAAGAAGAGTCACCAAGAGGAGGAACCTGAAGTGGGACAATGGTAAGACTAACCAGTACCTGAAGAATTTCTATTTCTCTCACTTTTTGCCTGCAAGTAAAAAATATTGGCAGGCTGGGAAAGCAAAGTTTTTCCAGCTTGCAATCCTCTAAGTCATTTTCATGTGTTAAAAAACATTTCCATTCTTCATTCCCCCAACCAGCTCCGACTTCCTGCTAGGTGACCAAAGGAAGACCTACGCTTTTTCCCTTCAACTCATTGTAAAAATTGCTTCTTGTCCCACTACGTAAGATAAAAAAACTACAACCAAACAGTATGATCAGTCTTGATAACTGCCCAAAAAGGAAGAATGAATGGATTAAAATGATTAATGAAAAGGGAAAACAGCAGAAAGGATCAAAAGGACATAGTAGTAAAAACTATTAACATTCATTTATAACAAATTTCAGGATTACTGTAATCACACTTCATAGCATTATGTGGCTGAGGGATGGGGAAATAGAAAAAGAATGGAGTCAAAGTTGGAGAGAAAGATAACACCAAGGAACTGGCAAATAGAAAGTCACGGTAAGATAAAGATAAGAACTGCTAGCCATTTAAATCAGAAAAACAACTGAAGAAAAGACAGAAGTGGCAGTTAGAGGAAGTTAGAGAAAAAGGCTTGTAAGATAGAAGAAATATATAATAAAGAATGTCTTGAGACTATTACAATGAAATTGAAGGAATTTGTTTAGCTGTCAAGGGTTTTGACTGTATAGCAGAAGCAGAAAACTAGACAGTCCTCAAGAAAAGATTGTTAATGCAAGAACTAGACATCTTCAGATATGATGATGAAGTAACAGACACAGGCTGAAGAAGGGATTTTTCTCCTTCAAACAACTGTTATATTTCTGTATGCATATGGCCTGACAGAAGAAGCTGAAGTCTAAATGCATGCTTCTGGACTTCTTTGTGTCATCATTTCAGTACTTAATAAGGCCACTTTTGGGGGAAAGAGGATGTCAAGTTCTTGCTGCACTTAAAAAAAATCCCATTTTTTTTCCCTACATTCTGAAATTCTTCCCAATCAAGAAACAGAACACAAACGTCTGTTTCTATGAAGAATAAGATTGCTGATTTAATTGTTTCTGAATTAATGCTATTTATAGCTGTGTTACAAAAAAAGACGGAAGGTTCAAGATCAAGGCTCTCTGCCACTGCCATTGTACAAATCCATGCCACCTTTCACTTCAGAGCTGGCCCCTTGCCATCCAGCTTGGAATGCAAACAGGATGATCTTTCGTCTGCTTGAAAAAGACCCCATAGACCTTCTCTGCATAATGTTGGAAATGTCCAACAGTTAAATATGGATCCTCCAAAATTCCTGTCCCTCTTTCTAATCACTTGATCATCTTTCTCCTCCATAGAGAAAAATAGCTGCTGGTCCACATGTGTGCAACTTGAAGGAATTCAGGACAAGGGGCAGTGAAGAGCTGAAGCCCTGTGTATACCCAGAGGATCTGCCAGTTTGCAGCAATGGAGCTCACTGACTTCTAACAGTTCTAACAGAAAATTCCCTGTATTTTCATTTGTTTTAATTATGTTAAGGTACTTCATATATTTTAGGTTTATTTGAAGTCTCAAGAAAAATGCATTGTACTAATACCAGCCATTTTACATGAATGATTCTGTGCAGGCGAAAAGGTGGCATTGCCAATGAAGGGAAGATTATCTTGGTTAATCTTCATGAAGAGCAGCATTTTAACATAAGACAGGCAATGAAATTCAATGACTGATTTACTTAAGTTCATATGTTTCATATCTTATAAATCTTTACAAAGGCTCCCTGGGTATTTAGAAATGCAGGTGTGTTTATCCCAGCTCCTTGCAACGAAGTTCAGCTCTTTCTCTGACCAATTATCCCAGAGCTTTGATTTTGCTGTTTTCATTCGTGATTTCTGACTGAGAAGGTACCACTTAAAATGTTTAAATATTGTTCAGAGGGAAAAAGCAGTTTCTTTGGCTTCTATATTTTTCCTATCTAACTTGTTGAATTCTTAATAATACTTTGTTTCACATTGTTTATCAGCATGGTCTCTGGATGAGGATTATGCTCACACACACATGGTCAAGGCTATTTTCTTTGTTTTCACATTCTGTAGTGAGTATCCTTTGTGGTTTTTCCCAATAAAATTCAAAGCTGTGCTCTGGAAAAAATAGATGAAGTTACATCAAGCAAACAAAATAGATGTTTGTAGCAAGAAAAACTATGTGAAAAGATCAAGTAAAGCTGAAGAGAGCATATAAAGCACTGTTCCCCGGCAATTGGCCATGGGAAGCACCTCACAAATACTGGTTGTAAGTCTAAACATGAGTTGCCCAAGAGAAAGAGAAAAATAGGCCAGAAAAACACTATGTTCCATAAATGGATATTTTACCTGAATTTCTGTTTTTGGAATTGATTTAAAATTGTGATATGCGAAATGACTTACAAATCCAATGGGAAACCAAAAGAAATTCAGCAAAAAAAATTTCACCCTAAGGCACTAAGATTGTTTCGTTATATGTAAACTAATTTTCCTGAAACTGGTAATTTTATTTTTTTTTTAATTTAATCAGGAGTAACCTAGGATAGACAAACTGCACAGTAACTCTCTCTTCTCCTTATAGATAAAGGACAGACCTTTTGGTTCACCAGCACAGATTTCTCTAAAATGCCTGCCAGGCAAAACAAAGATTCCATCTTGGTTTAATACACTTCAATATGACAGTTTGAACATTAGAAATCCACCAAAGTAATTAAAACATACTATTCTATATACAGAGCCGCTTTTCTTTCACATGCCAACTACAATTAGCTATAGTCTCCTTTGTGATTTACCTTAGCCTAAAGGAGCAGTGTTAAATAAGTTGACCTATGAGTTCCTCAGTTGTTAGGATGGCAGAAAGTTGGTACAATACAAAGAGGAGGTCAGTTATTCCCAGAGAAGCCAGAAGTACTGGGCAGAAGCTTGGCATTACATAATTTGCATTTTGCAATTTATGACTTAATTAAAGCTCACATAAATTATCTGAACATCTGTATTTTGTGCTGCTACCTAGGGCTCTCACCATATTCTTTATAGCGCTGTCAACTAAAAAGGTTTACATAAAGATACTTTTTTTTTTCTTGTATAAAGACAGTAGCTGAGAAATTCAGTTCAAGGACTATCTATGCATATGGGCTCACATTATATTCACTTAGCTCAGTATATTCAGAGGATGGCTTGTATTCAGATAATTTCCTTTTTTATGTAGCCAAGTGCGAGCAGCTACACTGAGCCTTCACAGGCTGCAGTCCACAGACATGGAACCATATAGAGGGCATGAATGCTAAGGATCAGTAAAGAAAGAGCATACTGCATCCTTCCAGCAAGATGAGTTTGAAACTATACCCCTTTTTGTGTTCACTCCTTTGCTGGCACTCTAGAAGCAGTAATGCACAAAATAGTCCTCCACTGCAAAATGAGTGCAAAAAAGATTTTTGAGTTGCTAACAAGATAAATCATCATTTCAGCCAAACCCCCCTCTCTTTCCAGGCCTATTCCATGTTTCAGATACCTCATGATGTTTCTTTTCCATTCCCTAGTATTGCTGTCTGTATGTAGTAATAGTATTCTCTACAATAATTCCAGTAATTAATGATAAACTACACTCATTAAACAAATGAACAAGTATCTTACAATCTGATACTGTCCTTTTCTTATTTCCCTACACCTTACCAGGACTTTTGTAGTCTACAGACATTTGTAACAGATCTCCTTGGCACTTTGGAGTCTTATCTTACAAAACACAAAATGTTCTGGCTCTCATCCAGGAAAGCACTTAGATACATGTTGACATTTAAGTAGATGAGTGGCCTTAGTGAGGTCAATTGGGCTACTTATTTGTGTAAAGCTAAACCCACTCTGAAATATTTTGTTCAATGGTTGCTGACGATTCAGCACTTTGAATGACTGACCCCTCCATGAGATCACACACAATTGTTATTATTACTGCACAAATGCTTTATGTAATAATTGCTTTCCAAATGATTAGAAATATTCAGGTTTATCACGAGATCACACACAACTGTTATTGTTACTGCACAAATGCTTTGTGCAATAATAATTTATTTCCAAATGATTAACAATTACTGTACCTAATTTATCTAACCCCACAGAAAAGGTATACGATTATTTCCAGTACTTATAAGGTATTTCTAATTGCCTCTGTGAATTTCTGTAGTGCTTTGAGGTGTTCATGTGGAAAGGATAAGGATATACTACGGCCTGGGTGAACCTCAAACCTGCCCCACTGAGCATAGCTGTCTCTCATGACCTTGCGCATCAGATGAGCATTACACCTCTAGTTATTCTCAGGTACAGCCTTGCAGATGCTAGCTGCTCCTGCATCTTCCTGGGGGTGCATTTTTTAAACCAAGGTAAATGACCAGACCCAAAACTTGCAAGCGTTTTTGATAGGAAAAGAACATTGAGATAGCTCAGTGCTATGTTTCTGGGCTTATTGTAAGCTCAGAGTTCATTTTAATTCTTCCTCTTGAGAAACTGTATGGCTGTCTGCCATTGTTGTTTATTTATTTTACCCCTGTAACTTCTGAACAGAAATTCACACACATACACACATACACACACACCAAAAAAAAAAAAAAAAAGAGGTTTTGGCTTTTGTGGTCACTTACTGTTTGTTTGAAGTACCCAGCACAGAAGGAAAAGAAGATACACCTCTCATGAGAGCTGAGAGGAAAGTCCAAATACGTCTGGCCCTTACTAACCCTGTGACTCACTGGATGTAAGGCTTTGAGAGCTCGGAGAAGCTCACTGGTTAACAAGTGACATGATGATAATTGTGGCGTCACAACAACAGCACCAGCTTGGTCTGAGCTGCACTTTCAGCTTCCTTCAGACTTCTGTCAAATCACTTCTGTTAATGACTTGAACAAACAATTCCAAGGTTTTGGAGCAAAAGTCTTTTTTTGGTCCTGATATTTATGTTTCGTCTATTATATACATTCTTATACATTACAGGAAATATTAACTAGTAAGATCCTAATTAAGAATTTTCCAAAGTTTATTTACTTACATTTTTATGATATTCAAGTCCTGGAAAAGCAGAAAGTGAACGCACTACTCGGGGCCCCTTCATGCACTCCTCATGCCACACGTCAACTCCCTGCCAACAACGGAATGCCACAGCAAATAATTGCAAGGGAGAACATCTCTGACCAGCTATTCCAATACACAACAACCACTGAAATGACCAACATTTGAAGATGCTTAACGCCCTCCCCACAGCACACCAGAATTCCACGAAGTAACACGTTTCCCCACAGGTAAACCCAGCAAAGATTCTGAGTTCAATCAGCCAACGACACCTGGAAATTCAACGACTATCTCAGAACACGCTCAGGCTCTACGAACCTTGTAACTCCTACAGCAGGGCCGTGACTGGCAGCAGCGAGCTGCCTTCAGGAGGTCAGAGCTTCCTGCTGCTGTGCTCACCGAGCCCGCCGTGGTCAGGAGCAGGAAGTCAGGGAGGCGTCACAGCAAAGTTCGTTAACCAAGCCGCTGAAACCCTCGTGAGCGGCCTGTCTGAGCCTGGCCAAAGGTTACTTTGCCTCCTGAAAACTCATCTAATCTGCCTTCATCTGCTGCGGACTTTCTGTTGCATATAAAACAGAAAGCTATGGCCGCAGTGAGATCCAGCTAAAATATCTTTCATTTTCTTTCATGCTTGTTTGACTCGGCTAATCTGCTGTTTAATTGTTTTTATTATGGTGCATAGCACGTTGATAATCCAAGAACTGCCGGAGCATTCTGGCGTTGATAAGACATTTGTGACCACCAGGACTCGTTGAGAACATCAGTTCAGAACATTTCTGTTTGTTTTGCTACAGCCCTGCTAGCACACTGTTCTGAGAGGAACACACCTTCTGAAAGTATTCGAGAACATGCAGTAAGAAAAAGGAACATTCCTGCTGCCAAAGGGTGCTAATTTTAAACACGGCTTGAAAATGAGCTTACTCATGGAATACTAACACAAGAAAATAGCCTTTTTTGGGTTGTTCGTTTTTCTTTTTTCTTTGATGGAAACTCTGAGAACCTTAATCCAGACTCCTCTTCAAACCCACCCGGAAGAAGCACTGTTTTGCTAAGTCCTCTGCTCAAGTGTGTGCAGCGAGGCTCTCTTTCTCTTTCTATCATGTTTCTAAAGTGCCTCCCTCTCACCGGTTACCAGGCAACAGAACAATATTGCTCTGCATGCTCGTCCAGCAATAACTGGCATTCTACTGTAGTTTCGCAGTTTCTCAGAGAAAATAAAGATGTTCTGAAATACTGTCTTGTGTGATGAGCAGCTACTGTCCAGAAGACATTTAAACATTTAAATGTTTACAAGGCCAATTTCTTTTGTCAGAGAAATTCAGAGAATGATAATAACCTTTGTTTAATGGAGGAGCTCCCATCCTAAGTAAACTTTAAGGCTAAAATAGACCACGCTGCAGAAAATAAAAAAGCTACTTCAGTTTTTATTTCAAACAATTAACAGCCTTTTAGGTTCTATTAGTACTCACATAACCCTTTTTCTTAAAATCAAGGCAAAAGTAAAGCAGCAGCTAAGGAGTTAAAATATTTTTTGTGTGCTTTGAAAACTAAAATGCTGCCTGTATGATGAAGTCCTCTTTTAGTCCTATTTTATTTGCTATTCTGATGCCAATAAAACAGTCAGGAAAGCTCAGCACTTTGCCCAAGATTCACCACTATTGAGTCTGGGCCCATTAAAGATGGGCCCAGACTCAATCAAACCACATGCCATCACTGAGCCCAAATGACCACAGGAAGGAAGGTACAAGCCTCAGCCCTTCATATGGAACCAGGTGCTGTTCAAGAAAAAGCTGATTCTAGACCCTGACCCGAGTGACTCTGGGTCTTTTGTGAAGCTGTGATTCAGCTTCACATTTCACACTGTAGATCAAATTCACCTCAAAGTAGCACAAAGATAAGAAATTGCTGTGCAGTTTTTTCACTTCCCAAAGAAAGGAGATATCTTTAATTATAAACAAATGTTCCACCTAGTCCCACCAAAACACGATATGTAGTGAATTCTTATTTTCTTAGTAACTAAAAGTTATGCAGCTCAATATCCAAAGAAGGACAGTAAATTGTCCTTGCAGGTATGTTAACTTTACCTGAAAGCAACATCAGAGGTGAGCTTTGAAATCTCAGAATACTCAGTAGTAAACATTTTTTGATTGGTTAAGTTGCATCATGGTTCAAGAGAATTCAATTTAAAATTATAAGGAGCACTTCCGTTTTTGTTATGCTTGTCTTATACCTTTCTTTCTTGTTTTAGATTTTTAAATAATTAATGCTTTCAACTTTGATAAAAATCTGTTCCCAGAATTATTTGAATTGTATTGAATTGAATTGCACAAATGCAATGCATCAAGATATACATGACAACTTGAAAAAAAAAACTGTTTCATTCCCCAGTGCTATTGATGCACAATTGGTATGTAGACAGCATTAAGATTTGTGGCTCACTTTCTTGGACCTAGGAAAGAAGAAGGCATAATGATGCATTCTCAACTTGTCTAGGTAAGATAAATATCAATACATATGTTTGACACTGTGTTACTCCAAAGGTCAGCATAAATGAGCACTGATGCTGTACTATAAACACCTCAGTTCTGCTTCTAGCTCTAAAAGGATGGACCAAATCCAAACCCTGGATTAACTTATTTGCAGAATGGCTGAAGTATTAGCTGGCTGTTGCTTGTAGTGGACATATTATGTCTTGATCAAAAGAAAGACTCCAGTCTGCCCTGAAATATAAACAGCAATCACAAGAACTAGCACCTCGAGGCATGATCTCGCTTAGTAGTAGTTAATGGACATTTCTTGTACACGTACAGCTTCTTCTAACTGGACAGAAAATGCCTTTAGCTTATTCTACAGTTTCTAAAATCCAGTACACTCAAGAGTACTTCCTGAACCTTATATAAAGTCCCCAAGTAGAAGGCAACAGCAGATTTTCTCTGCAGAAAAAAAAAAAAAAAAAAAAGCAAACAAATCAGGTGGGATGACAGTGAACAGAAAGAGGATGTGCTAAAGAAGTCAGCTAGATCCCTGTGCATTCATTCCAAGAGTTGGGCATTTTCATGGAAGTCAAATTTTGAGAGGGAAAAAAGTTCAAGTCAGGCAGCAGAGGGTGAATGGTAACACCTGGACTTCCCTGAAGTAAACTTCCACTTTTTGTTCTACCAAAGTCATCTTTGAGTGGTGCCACTGAATGTTAAGGGAGAAACAAGCACTTATAAATGAGTATTCATTTTATTATATATTACCAATGCGTATTGAGTCCTTTTCACATGTACAGACTCACAACTTACCATTCAATTAGTTTAAGCTAAGCTAAATGAAAAAATAGATTGTGCTATAGCCTAAAAAACAATCAATAGCCACTGTAAGGATCGATGGTCTAAAAAACTATTGACTGCTCATGTCACAGCCCATACTTTCCATTCCACGCTAAACACAATTGTAGGTCGATATTTGCCAGATGTCTATTTGGAAGCAAAACATTCTGGCTGTAGTCTGTGTCCTTCACCTTGCAAAAAATATCGGTTTTACATTTCATTTGAAACAACTCCTGGTGTGCCACCATATTCCACTAAGAGCATGTCCTAGAAGTCTCATTATTTTCCTTTTTTGGACTTTATGAGGGTGGTACTTCCCATGGCATTCATTAGTCCGCCCCACACTGTATGAATCCAGGGTTCATCGTTCTGACAGCAGAGACATGTTCATTCAGCTAAAAATGGAACGAGAGGAAATCACCCAGTTTATTCATGTAGAACCATTTCTCATCCTTAGATAGAGTTGACTATCAAGACTAAACACTTTACAGTGAGCTGCTGCTCTTGCTTATCAATATAATTGATGAATCTCCTAAAAACCATCACCTCCTTTTAAAAAAATGAAAGGCTAAACAACACATAAACTACTTTAGCAACCACAATCCCAGTCTCTCTGCTGTACAAGCTGCCGCTCCTCCAAATAGATTTGAGGCGCTGACTTTGTTGAGTATGGAGGTGTTACCATTCCTCCACTGAAGGCAGATAGGCACTCACACAGGCCAAGCTCAAAGGGCTGCAGGATGGACAAAGGCCGTACTGATGAGCAGCGGGACGATCCTGTGGGTAGGATTCCTCTGTCCTGAGTCCTGTGAGAAGAACGGTGTAAGGGCTGGTGTACTGAAAGGGCTGCAGAATCTTGTGTTGTCAGAGAGGGAGAGAAGGTTTAAATAGGTAATTTTTAGAGGCTGTCAAAACTGAAAAGTGTAAACATTGTTAACATTTCTTTAAAATTCTAGTAGGGAATAAAAGCTGCCTGGATGTGTGCCATCCTATAGTTGCAAAAAAGTTTAGCAAACCATATGCTGCCCTAGGAGACAGGTCCCAGCCAGATCCAACCTGCTAATGCTCCAGAGAGAAGCACCAGCAGGCCTAGGAGTGCTGCTGCCATTTCCCAGCTCAGCACCACCGCTGCTTCCTGCTTCTGCAGCAGTTTGAGAGATGTGTTGCACCAGGTCCTAGAGACAGTGAGCATAGCTGATTTTGACGGCAGGAAGCATAGATGCTCCTCTTTCCAACTGTAAATGTCTCTTCTTTCCATTTACATTTATGTGGTAGGTATTTGAATATCTATCTGATTATTAAGGTTTTTAAACAGAGTCTAAATTCTCTTCCCAGTTGATGTTGAATGAGAAAATTCTGTACAGAACAGTTCCCCCTTATCAGTATAATTCTGCAGTAATTTTCCTGGCATCATCAGCTCTACATCAGTGTGAAATGGGTGTAAGCAATTTCACAGCCAGATATTAGGATTTTTCACAAGTTTTCTGTAGCTGTAACCAAAAACACTGGTTCAATGACTGCAGTGTAGATGCTTTTAGCATGCTGCCAATGACTGCAATTCAACATGATTCCAAAAATCAAAACATCAGTTTCTTACATTTTGCTCTCTTGTCCTGGCAGCTCTGATGAACTTGTGAGAGTATGCAACTGTAACTGAAAGTGAACTTGGCCCAGCCATGCAAAATGCCATTCGAATTTCAAAAGAGGCAACATTTTGCAACAGTAACAAACATTCCCCAACCCCCACGAATTACATACACTTGCACAGACTTCTGTTTGGCCTACAAAAGGTTCGCATTTTCCCTAAACTCCAAATGACAAGGTCTGCATCTCCCATCCTCTGAACTGGAGGTTCCTGCATGCCCACAATCTCAGTATTAATTAATTGTGTGCTATTCAATCCCCTATTTCCTCAGTCTCATAAACTATTCTGGGCCTTTTGGCCTGATATTAATTACTGTGCCCTACAATTCACACCTGCAAATTTTGTCTTGGACTTGAACTCTCTCTTATGGTGACTGCTCCAACCATACATGTAAGTCTTTCTCCTAAAGCCCAATCAGACTCTCCTGGCTTTAACATCTGTAACATATAAGGTAACTATCAGCTTTATCATCCTTCAGCATCCTATCTTGCTCACTGTCCGTTTCTGCTCCTCCTCCTCTTCCACAAATACTCCACTCCTTTTTCACGTCCAAGGGAAAAACTTCAGGCACCATTCTCTCCTTCCCCCAGCCCTGAGCACAGGGCAGAAGTAGAAACAAGGCATTTCTGTGGAGGCTGGGGCACAGAAAGAGCTTACAAGCATTCAATGCCATCCTTGTAGATTAATGTCTTTTCCTAGTGGATGAACACATGAGTTGGTTTGAACACTGCAGTCACACCAATTGATCAGCAATATTACTACTGCTGGTTATAATCAAGATTTTTACTATACCAGGGAAAATATGAGGATCCTAGCAGTGACTTACTTAGGCACACTGGGCAGGGCTGCCTAGGTGGGCTAAAGAGCAACAGCACTGCAAGCTCCTGTTGGAATTTTCCTCCCCAGCTGCTCTGCAGCGTCGGTATGGGGCTGAGGACAATGTCAGCAGGAGGCTGACAGAGCTGTCAGGGATGATCACTGCCAATGAATGCCCTGCGGGGCCTCCTGGCTTCCCCAGAGGCTGCTTCCCAGCTGTGTGCTGCTGGTGATATGTGGAGAAGCCACTGCCGCAGAAGCAACCAGCAGGGAGATGGCAAGCAGTCTCAGGAGGACTGCAGCAGCAGGAGGGCTGCAGAGCATTGCACTTTGAGACAGAAAATCATGAGATGAAGGGAGGTAAAAATACCAACCTCTTCCTTTCTGCTTGAAGTATTGCGCTCTTCCTCCCTTCTCCCCACCCCACTTTTGGAATAAATGGCTTCCATTAAAGGATGACAGCGCTCTATCAGTGCTCTTGAAAAAGCAGACCCCTGTCACCCTTGCCAGCATGGGCCCACTGCCTGCAGGAGCTCTGGCTCTGCATCTCAGGCATGGTCACAGCCATATCACCACAAGGACAGCTGGGCCAGGACTGCTGACTCAGGGCATGGTTCAGCTCCACAGCTGCACAGAGAGGTTAAACTGGCTTGTTCCACATATCACATCTGTTTGGGAACCTTGCACCCTGCACTGCCCCTGTGCAGAAAGAAATAGGAATACAGTGTATAAAAAGAGCCACATAGCATGGGCTCAGATAAGGAATCCAGGCTTGGGGATAACCCCAATGTTCAAGAAAAGGATAATTTTCTATGAGAGGAGAAATAGCGAGACTTAGCAGAAGGCAACAGGAAGGGGCAGTCTCCACACGAGGGGAACAAGCTCACAGTTTGCATTTTCCTGTTAGAGAAATCTAATATGACCTATAGAAAGACACATAGCAGATCTTTCTCTTCCTCCAGCAGGTTATTATTCTCACAATCTACTTCACAAGCAGAAGCCAAAACTGCAGTAGTATGACCCAAGCCTTTTTAAAAATAGCCTACCAAGGTCTTTTCTATTTGATTACTGCATCATAGAAATTTCAAGATGCACATTTTTGGGATTGTAGTGTCAAGAAGCTGAGAATCTTAGCAACCACAGTCAGCTAATACCATTAACTGCAGACAGCTGTATTTCAAAGAAAAATACCAGCTACCTGTTTCAAGCAATGATGACTTGGAGAAGCCTGAGAAATCCTACAAGAATATGATGCAGAATGCTGCAGATATCACCATCATTACTTTTTTTAAATTAAATTAGGATTAGCTGGAATTTTATTTAAAACGCGCAAACGTTTTCCATTATGCACCCTGATGATATGGAATTACAGTAATGTACGTATAAAAGATTTTTCAGTGAGCAATAAGAACCAGGATTTTGCTAGTGAACTTCTGAACTTCTATTATTGCGCTGGTAAAGGCAGAGAGGCAGTGTTAGGAGGGGTAGGCACTGAGTGTAAATTCTTTCTTTGTGAGGCCTTTTGAGGACAAAACAGTCATAAGAAGTCTATCCCAGGCCTTCCAAAGCAATCTGTGCTCTGAAGCCAACCAGGAAACAGTCCCAGCCAGTATTCAGGCAGATGCCAAGAACAAATATATTCAGTTAAAGAAAATATGTTAACAATGCTTTAATTTTCAATAGATGTAATCAATATGTAGGCAAGCCAACAAAAATATGGCTGGAGATGCCACTGGAAAAGATCAAGAAAGTATTGAGCTATTCAAATCTACCCTATGCGTAATATCTTGTAGTGTGGTAAAGTTATTTTATTTGCCTGTAATTCCAGACAATTATTGTGTCACCAGCAAGTTTGGATTTGAATAAGACTGAGATAGAAACCATGGTAATCCTTTCTTTTTTGTTGAGCTAGAGAACACTTCTGCAAGCAGGAAATGACTACACCACTGGCAAAGTCAGGGTGAATCTTCCCCCTAAGTAAAAGCCTCAAATATATTAAGACATACAAAATAGTTGTGAGGTGGCAACATCACTAAACATCCTGATGCTGAAGGATGTCTCTGACAAATTATAGCTCAGTAATTTATTACAGAATGAAATATTCTGTATAGCTTTCCCATCTGTAGTGGGAATAATGAAAGATTTCGGCAGTTTATTTGAGAAGTTATTTCAAACCTGTAAATGAACTGTAATTTTTAGCAAGTAAGTGCTATCATCAATTAGTTTTTCATCCTCTTCTTTTGTCTTGTATCCTGTTTCTCTTTATTGCCTTCTTATCTTCCATGTTGCCTTTCTCTAAATTGTTGTTCTACCAAATTAAGTTGGTAGAACACGTCAGGTGGTAGAACAATAAAGTAGGTCTGTCCAGCCCGACAACAGGCATGATGGGCAAGACAACCCAATACAACCCCCATGCATCAAGCCTATATACTGTAGTTGGGTTATGCCTAACAAAGATGCCTGTTCTTCAATTTTTAGTTTTAGTGCTCTTTCTCTATACTTTTTTCTTCTCCAGTGAGCTGAAATAATTCATAGTGCTGGACTTAAGAGCCATTTCCTCCCCTATGAGAGCCATCAGTTGAGAGGCATTGTTCATTTTCTTCTGCTTTTATTACATGATTTTAAAATATAGCAATAAATTGTAGCATAACTTTAAGATTCACCACAGGCCAAAAAGAGCAGCAGTGCATTTTACTGGAGCGGAGCCTATCTCCACAGATGTTATAACTAACAAGGTACTGTATTACAAAATCTACAAACTGGGATTTGACTTAATAGGTTGGGAAAGTTGTTTAAACAGTTAAGTTATTGACTATTGCTTCAAGATAGATTATGCAGAGAATTCAAATGCTGTTTACTCTTGCCTTACAAAAAGTCTGGGTCTGATAAAATACGCAATTTATTTATTGTATTTAATAATATTTTTTCAGTAGATTCACACTTTCAGATCATCGTCAAATTTCTCCTTATCCTTCTTCCTACTGTCCTTATCTGCCTTTCCCACTCCTTCACTTATTTTTAAAAACCTCCTATGTTTTCCAGCACCCATGCTCTCCCTCTTTCCAGTCGCCACAACTTGCACCTTTAATTTTCCAGTATTTTTGTTTTTCTTTATTCTTTTGACATCTAGGATCTTCTCTACTACTGTTACTGCATATGACAACTTCTGTATTTTCCAACCATCCCTACCCCCACCCATTAACAGAATTACCTTAACTGTTTACCTGCATCTTTTACTCCCACCAATAACCCTTAGAATTTCTGTCTGCTATTCCTCAGAAAGATTTCTGTACATGCTGAATACCCTGCAATTTTCTCCTATTAGGCCTCCTGCTATTTGTTCAA